ACACTCTCAAAATAAATGGAACAAGTTTTCGCTGATAAATAGGAACTATTAAAAAAAAAAAGAGCCAAATGAAGAATCTAGAATTTAAATACATATATATATGAAATCTTTTAAAAAATCACTGAATAGGCTTAATAAAATAATGGAGATGACAGGAGAAAGAGCTAGTACAGGCGAAGATAGATCACGAGAAATTGCAAGGTGAAAAAGGTCAAAAAAATAAACAGGGCCTCAGGGACCTATGGATTTCTATCAAAAGGTCTAACATTAGTGTCACTGAGTTCCTAAAAGAGAGGAGAAAGAGATTGGTGCAGAGAAAATATTTGAAGAAATAATGGCTGAAAACATCTCAAATTTGGTGGAAGACTTAAGTGTACAGCATCAGAAATCTCCGTGAACCCAAAAAGGATAAAGTAGACACACACACACACTCAAATACATCATATCAAACGACTAAAAACCAAAGATAAGGAAAAATGTCTTAAGAGCAGCTAGAGGAAAACATCCCATTACAAATAGGGGACAACAATTCAAATGACTATGAATTTCTCATCAGAAAGAGAGGAATTGGTTTTCATTTGCCCTGGTCAAGTCACGTGTTCATTCTCAGCTAATCAGCACAGGGGCTGCAATACTCAGCTGCAATGCTCAGCTTTGCCGCCCCTGTGTCCCCTACTGGGGTCAAGGAAGCCAGGGCCTGAGGGGTGCAATCAGGATGCTCTCGGTAAAAGGAAAAGAGCGCCCGAGGGACTGGATGTTGGGTGGACAAAAACAACAGAGAGCCATCATAACTAGAATATATTGTTATTTATTTATAATACACACATCGACTTGCAACAACTTGCTTTTTGGGGAGGCGGGGCAGGGTCTCACTCTGTCCCCCAGGCTGGAGTGTGGTGGCACCATCATAGCTCACTGCAGCCTCAAACTCCTGGGCTCAAGTGACCCTCCTGCCTCAGCCTCCTGAGTAGCTAGGACTACAGGCGCACACCACAGCACCTAGCTAACAACTTGCTTTTCAAACAAAATATACTTTCGATGTCTTTCCAAGTAGAACAAATAGCTGCCTAATTTAAATTTTAAAATTCTCCCTAGCTTCTAATTTCAAGGATATAACTTAATTTAACCAGTCCTCTACAAATAATTAAGCTGTGTTCTGTTTTTTGCTATTGCAAATAACCTTGTGCATAAAACTTTAATTGTGAGAGTTCTTCTGTGAGATATGTCCCTAGCAATGGAATTGTCAAAGGATATGCATATTTTAAATATTGATAGATATTGCCTAATGGACCCCTGGCAAATTATACTGATTTATATCATTGCCAGCCAAGAATGGGAGTGTCTGTCTCCCCACCACTCCGCTATATCGAGGATACTTTTGGTTCCAAATTTCAGAAACATGCAATTAAAACAAGCTTAGAGAAGAAAACACTATTATCTCATTGTACCAAAAAAAATATTATACAATAGTAGAATGCTGTAGGGTTGGTTAGTGGCCCAACAATACCTCAGTGATCAACTTCTCAGGGGAATTGCAAGATGATCAGAGCCTCAGAATAGAGGCACCAAATCCTCAACAATGTCCAACACCAAAACGAACGTGTCCCTACTTCTGGTCCCTTTGGGGTTAGTCGAGAACTTTCTAGGAAACCATCTTCTCAGATGTGCCCTACATTGGGAATGGCTCCTGCCTATTACTGAACCACACTTTGTCTGGGAAGTGGAGAAGGACGTGCTGGTGGAGACCTCACTGGGGGACCCAGCCTCCCCTGAGCAGATACTTGTCTAGCACTTGCCCAGTGAAGTTCCTTATCAAGAAGAAGATGCAGGATGGGGGAGATGCCCCATCTGCTCGCCAACAACAAATGTTAACAACTGCCCTGTGAGAGACAAAAGCATCTCATTGCTTTAATGCACATTTTTTAAAATGCTTTGTGATGTTGAACATCATTTCATAAGTTGGAGAAGGCAGAGACGCAATTAAATTACTATATTTTACAGGAACTGGAAAATCCCCTTTCTATAGGGTTATGCTAGCAATTTGGATACCAAGTCCACTTCATTTGTTTGAGTTTGTGTTTCTGCCTGACTTCATTGTTTTACACACTTATATGGTTCCAAAGTCAAACCTTAAGCCATGGTGCATTCAGCAGTCTTGTTTCCATTCCTGCCCCCTTTGTCTGCTCCTCCCCAAAACCCAGGCTAAGATTTATACTGTTTCTCCTTTATCCTTTGTTTCTACGTATACTTCCCCACGCCCTTTCTCACGCAAAAGGTAGCTCACTGTACATAGTTTTCTGTGTTTTGCTTTCTAAATTATTATTAATACTTAGCAATAAATCCTGGCAATACATACCTGGTATTACCCATCTTCCACCACTAACCTGACTTCTAACACTATAGTTTCTAAAGGTGGGGGGTTTTTAATTAAGAAAATACAGCATAAAAAATTATATTTTCATCTCTTGAAAACTAAAAGTCCTGGCAACACCTTGGCCTAAGAGCTCAAGTACAGCAACGATCAGCTCTGTGCCCCCCACATTAGCATAGTCCCCAGCACCCAGCCCCTCCTGGTGTCTGATCCTGGTAGCGTCAACTGTTGACATTGAATTTACCTGCCTGGTCCCTAAGGACTTCTGAGTTTACAGCTCCTAGTTAGCCAGTCCCCTACTGATGGCTAGTCAAGCTGTTTCTGGATTTTCCCTTGTCAAAAAAATACTGCCTAAGCAATTCCATTAATGTGTGTGTGTGTGTGTCTCAAAGGAACTGAAGACACATGTCCACACAAAAACTTGTACACAAATGTTCACAGCGGCATTATTCACAATAGCCAAAAAGTGGAAACCACCCAAATGTCCACCAGCTGATGAATGAACAAAACGCAGTCCATCCACACAGTGGCTGATTATTCAGCCATAGAAAGGAATGAAGTTCTAACACCTGCTACAACATGAACCTTGAAAACATTATACCAAGTGAAAAAAGCAAGACTCAAGGCCACATTTGGTATGATTCCATTTATATGAAATATCCAGAAAAGGCAAATCCAGACAACAGAAAGTAGATTAGTGGTTGTCAGGGGATGTGGGGAGAAGGGTAGTGACTGCTAACGGGTATGGGGAGATGAAAGGTCCTAAAATAGATGGTGATTATGGTTGCACAACTATGTGAATATACTAAAAACCACTGAATTGCACATTTTACATGGGCATGTGAATTATATCTCAATAAAACTGCTACTTAAAAAGCAATACAGCAGCAAACATCCTTGAACGCCCCTTCTTGTTTCCGGAATTGCTGGGTCACAAGGCCATTCTATTTTTTAATTTCTCCAGAATGGCCAAACCAATATACTCCACCTCAGCGTGACGCTTGCTTCTCCGCACCTTTAGCTACACTTTCTGTGTTGCCAATCTAAAGAGTAAGTAAAAAGATGGCACCTTGCTACTTAATATAATCTACATTTTCCTGGTTACCATTTAGGTAATCTGTTAATATCTATTGGCCATTTGTATCTTCTCTCCTATTTTCTGTTCACATCCTTCACTCATTTTTTATTAGAATGTTTTTTCATTAATTTGTAGCTCTTCATACATTCTGTAAAGATATACTTGAATATGTTGCAAATATTTTGTCATACATCAATTTTTAATGTATGTAAAACACTTTGCAAGTGCTTGGCACATAATAATTACGAAGCAGGAGGCATTCTTTTCATTACTGATAAGGAGGAAAGCAAGAATTGGTGAGGGTATGAACAGTCTCCCTGTATCTGCATTTTTAATAGGTTGATTTACCCACACACTGCTAAGATACCACCAAAGGAAGTCTGTGGCTCCAGTAGCTTTATTTCTTACATTTTTTCTTTCTTTTCTTATTCTGGCAAGAACTACCTTGGGTCTGAGAAGGGCTGAGACCTATCTAGCCCCTGGAAACATTTGGTGCAGGACACCTTGTAAGATGGAGCCCTGAGAGCCCAATTGTTCAGAGACCTTTTCGAACTAGGAAGCAACATGAAAGCTACTTTTGGATCCTTTTCTACAACACTTGGTACAAGAGTGAAATACTAAGAACCAGCCCAGCACTCATCTCTTTAGTTTCATAGATGGTCCCACTAAAAGAGATGGAAGCAGACACTTTACTTCAGTTCCTGATCTGACATCAGCAGATTTACACAATGAACAGGAGACATGGTCAATCAGAGATAATGAAATCAAACCCAAAGAAAAGTTCCTTTATAAAGTTCCTCGAAAGCTATTTGAAAACAGATCCCTGCTAGGCTTCACCTTGCAGGCTGGTCCCATGCTCTGGCTGTGGCCACGGGGACCTGGTTGACATTCCAGGGGCCCAAGGAAAGCTGCAGGCTCTTGTCCTAAGAAAGGACACTTGGTCCTTGTCAACCAAGGATGGCCCTTACACACAACTGCATCAGCGCACATTCCTGATCTTGAGAAACACCCTACACGTGCACATGTACGTGGAATCTGAGAGATCATCTCGTTTGGTCTGATCCTCCAAGTCATGGCCTTCAAACAGGAATAGAAGGGTAATGAATCACAGGTTAAATTTCATCCCTACCAGTGAATCTCAGTCCTTGAGTGCTCACTTTCAGCCTGCACGGGGAGGGGGGTTGAGGGACAGTAACATGGTTCCTGACCTTTCCTTCCTACCGAAATTAAAAAATTAAACAGACACCTTCTAATTATGTACTAGAAAAACATTCCTGAAGCCTCTATTTTGTACCCGAGGGAAGAAAGAACGTGGGCCCAGAGCAAAGAGATCAGGAGCGCTCTATTGCCAACTGACCTCGGCTGCCCGGCCGGGGGTGGAGACACTGTGTCCAAGGTGTTTCTGTCAAAAGAAGTGGCTAAAAACTTGTGCTCAACCTTCTTACCATGATCATAGCAGAATGGGGAGAAAACTCCCACAGCTCACATTTATAAAGTTGTTAAAATACATTCCATAAAGTCTATAAAACTGTTTAGAAAAATTTATTTGAACGTAGGAAAATTTAGAGACCCCCAATAAAACAGAAGTTCCTTTCCGAGGTGATGGGAAATCCTGACAGGCTTTCCCAAGCCGTGCCGTGGGCTGCGTACACGCTCACGGTCAAGACGCTTCATCTCTGAGCTCCTACAGCTGCAGAAAGAGCCTGCATTTCTGGCGGGACACGTCGCCTTCTCGAGGAGGCCAGCCCCATGGACTTGCAGTGCGGCTGTTCCTCAGCACTCCTCACGCACAGGCTTAGAGTGTGTCTGAAATGACACGCGAGAACAAAGGCTCACAGGATTGGCATATTTAAAAACACCCACAGCACTCTCTCTGCAGAGGGCTGTGCGTTCTTCCTTTCATCCATCCAATCTGGATTTTTAAGAATGTGACCAGGTAGGAGGCACCTGGACTGCGACGACTCAGAACTGTTGCACCAAGTCGGTTCTACTGGTGAGGCGCGGCTGCTTCCCTAAGGTCCTCTTCGGTGGGGCCTGTCACCCCTCTCTCAGAAGGCTTTCTCCAACCCAGGCGCAGAAGGCACACTGCCGCGCGGCGGCACACGAGGGGCCGGCCTAGCGGATGGGCCTGAATGGGAACGTCACGCCTGAGATGAAGGTGTGCCCGGGGTGCGTGGGCAGGGCGGGGTGGGCGGCGGGGTGGGCCGGCACAGCCCCATAGCCCAGCGGGGGCGTGTGGATGTGAGGGTAGAACCCAGGGGGGAGCGCTGCGTGCGGCGACTGCTGCACTGGGCCCGAGATCACCAGCTGGAGCAGGCTGCAAACACAAGGAGAGGGGTTAGTGCCGCCGAGTCCAGGGGACCCGCCTGCGCACACGCACTGCACGCTGGCTCCACCCCTCCCTGCACCTGGCTGGGACTCAGCGGCGCCCATGCCCATGGGAGGCACCAGTCACACGGGTTTCTAGGCAGGTGGTGAGCACCGAGGTGACCTACGGCCGGAGGATTTACACGGGGACACACGCAGAGCCAGAGAGGAGGGACCTGGCGGGAAGGCCAGGCTCCCCCAGGCAACAGAGCATGGAGGGAGGGGCCTGCATTGGGCCTATGGTCCACTCACAGGCTCCAGTGGCAGCCCCTCCGCCCTGAGACAGGCCCTAACTGAATCCCAAGCGTAAGCTCCAGGAAAGCTGGCCTTGCACATGACCCTGAAATCGAAAGCCCAGCACAGGGCCCCTCCGGAGTGGGCGAGGCCTGGTGGCCCTTACTGACCTTTGGGGCCCACTACCTCTCCCACCCTCGCCCGGTGGAGCTTCAGACCCTCTGCTCAGGAGCACCTCCACCCCACTCACACCGGGGTCTCCGGGAATAGCCACGCGCCCTCCCCAGCCCTCCTATGCTCCTACCCTTGACCACCCAGCCCAGGCGCCTGGGGCTCCCCGTTTGGGGTCCAGCACACCCACAGCCGCCACCTTCTAGACATCCTCCTCCCTCCTGACTCCAACAGCACTTTCTACTGCTGGGTCCCTCCTGAGACACCTGAAAGAGTTTCTCGCTGGCCCTCCTTTCTAACCCACCTCCCCCAGGACGAACAGAACTCCCAGAACCCGCGCCCCCCCGACCTCTGCCCGGCACCTCCAGCTCTCCCAGCCTCGGCCCACCTGAGTCCTGCTGTCAGCCTGAAGTGAGCAACTCCCTATGGGTTCTACCCTGATCAGAACAACCTCTCAGGTCCCCCAACCCACCTCCCACCTTCCCGACACAGCCTCCTCCAACCCCGCCTCCCCCTGGAGTAGGCCCCACTGCAGACAGACCTGCACTGCCCACTCCTCTCCTGACCTCACCCCGGGACCTTGCCCAGCCACCTCCTGTGTCTGCAGTGCCTCTGCTGGTCTCTCCCTCCCCAAAGCCACCTGCCAGGTCCTGCTCAAGCCCCATCACTTGCTCAAGCCGACCCTCCCCACACACTGCCCCACTGGGCTGGCGACAGCCCGTCCTCTAGGCCACTTCCCCTTTCTGTGGCCCTGACTGCCTCCTGCCTACTCCCTTGCTCTGGTCTGTGGCAGACTCACCCCCCCCCCAGGACAAAGGCTGGGGCCAGCGCCTCAGGGAGGCCTGGGCAGTAAACCGAGGGCACGGGGAAGCCTGGTGCACTTCAGTGGTCCAAAGCTCTTTGGGCCCCTTTTCATTTCCATTACTGCTTTTCTATAACCCTGAGTAAGAAATTCGATAAAATATTAACAAACCCAAGGAGGAGGGAGCACTACAGAAGCAAAATTCAGGATGTGGGATTATCTGAACCTACACACCCTGCCAGAGACAGAAATAGTCTAAGGAAGTTTCCAGTCTAGGTGGGAAGACCACACAGAGACCATGAGAAACCAAAGAAACACTGCAAGCGGCTACCTGTCCCCTCTCTTTCCTGAGTCGGGGACTCCCCTGGATCTGTGTCAGGAGAGGCAGCCACAGGCTCCCAGGAAGGGATGGAGTCAAAGCTTCCAAGGCAGGACCAGCAGGGGACTGCTGAGAAGGTACAGAGGGGACTCCAACGTGGACCCCTAGTTATAAGACTAAAATGATGTGAGGATTTACATCCTATCGTTATTTTAATTCCCTGAAAACACTAAAACATTAAATAAAAGCTGTGGACAAAGAAGGAATATCACGAAGGAACTATTGCCAGAGAGTAAAAGGTGCCAACAGATACCAACAATGTCCTCAGATGCTGAGGAAGCCTCTGGAGCTCGGACCAAAAAAAAAAAAGAAAAGAAAGAAAAGGACGGCGGGAGCTCCTCAGGGAAAGGTGGCCCCTGAACAGTCTGTCCACTGTGTTGACATAACATCTCAGGCAGAACAGTTTTGTCCCTTCCAAGATCATTACATTCCACCTCCTCAGGTTTTGCATCTATGCAGACACCTTCCCGGAGCTGCTCTTCCCTTGCAGAACCTGGCAGAGCATGGTGGGAACGAGAGTCCCCAAACACAGCACAAGGATGCGCTTCCTCTGCTGCCTGTGAATCAGTATCTGGCCGATTATGCACGTTTCTGTCACAACCTGCCAGCACACCGAGACTCGCTGCACACGGCAGAGCCTGTGGCCAGGCCCCGAGTGGCTGTGAGCACCTGGAACCCCACTACTCCCTGTTTAAGACCAATGCAATGGGGTCTGAAGAAAGAACATTAATAACCTACCAAGTTAACTCAGTCATTTTTCATTTCTATAAACCCGGTCCCTGTGCACAGGAGTTCTGCCTTCAGCTATAAACATTTCCTTACACAGTTGTCACAATTACTATTTTTGGTGGATACACAATATTCTATCCTTGTGATGTATCACAACTAGCTTACTGAGTATCCCTGCGCTGTGGGATACTTTGGTTGCTTCTGGTTTTTTGCTGGAATCACACTGCAACTGTATGAAACATTGTTGCATATATGCCTCTTGGCCTTTTATCTAAAGGCCGAGACACAGAAGTGAAATTTTTAAGTTACTGAAAGAATAGTAATAGCAACAGCAGCTAACACTTGTTAGACACTCACCACAGATCAAGTACTGTTCTAAGTGCTTTCTGTAGTTTTACTCATTTAATCCTCACACAAACCCTATGGCGGGGGTTGGGGGAGCACCGGGTCATGAGGCAGGTCCTAGGATTGTCCTGATTTTCCAGACGAAGGACCCGAGGCAGCAGAAGGTAGGGAACTTGCCCAAGGTCACATGGATAGGAAGTAGCAAGCTGGGATTCTTACGAGAATCCGTGTGACCACAGCTCCTGCTTTTTATCCCTATGACTGCATTTATGGAGAGGTTTCCACGTGACAGGGACTATGCTGAGAACTTTACGATAGTACTGCTCCCCATTTTATAAGGAGGGAAACTGAGGCCCAGAGACAGGTGAAGAGACTTCCCAAGCATCACAGCAAATCACAGACAGAGCCGCACTCAGGACCCGGGTCCCTGCCACCTGATGGGTCCCTGCCACCTGATGGGTCCCTGCCACCTGATGGCCGAGCACCAGCATAACCCTCTAGGGCTGTGGCTCTGCGGTGCTTCCCAAAGGGCTGTGCAGTTCACAATGTCATCGACAGGGCACCACTGCACCAGCCCCACCACTACCCAGGTGCACGCTCATTTAGCAGCTTTCAGCGACACCTGGAGCTACTCTGGCTTCTTTCCTTAACTCCCAGGTCCATTTTTTCACGTTTGCTCTCTAATTAGGGCTCCTCTCACGTGGGTTCTCCCATCATGTCCATTCCCCACTTATCACCGGGTCTTTAAGGGGCTCCTTATAGGGAGAAGCTCTAGACCCTGCAGACCAACCCTCCCCAAGGAGCCCAGAACAAAGGGATGCACTCTGCCTTGCCTCCCCCACCCTGGCCCAGCACGTGGCCCAGCTGGAAGTTTTGAGAGGGTACTTACTTATTATGGGGCAGCCTGGAGCACAGGGTCCTCAGGTCATCTGAAATTAAAGAGAGAAATGATTAAGGAACAGACTGGAGGCAACACAGTGAAATAGTCACTGATGTTCTCTTCAAGGATGCCAGCAAGACCGCAATAGTGCCTTACACTACATTTTCCTAGCATCACTTAGAAGCTGGGTTCTCATTTCCTTCAGTTTTTGCTTTAGCAAAGTAGGCCTCAAATAGAAGACATCACTTAGGAAGGGGGTAGCCCTGTTGGCAGTGTGTCAGATGGCCACTGGCAGCAGGGCTCTCACTGGCAACCAGACACCCAAGGCACTCCAAGAGCAGTGCTAAGAGGGAAACCCACCGCCAGTGACCACCCCTCAAGGCCACAGGCAACCCTCCAGAGGGAGTCAACAGTTAAAAAGCAAACCCAAGCGTGTCATTCGCACCAGATCATTCTCTGGGAGCCTCTGAGCAAGGAAATGCAGAATTAAGAACCCTCAAAGCAGGTGACGGGAATGTTGTGTGTCTTGCCTGGGCGGCAGCTACGTGCATATGTACATTTGTCAAAACTCATCACATTTTGCACTTAAATTTGTGCATTATTTATCATATGTAAATTATACTTCAATAAAAAAGGACACAGAAAAATGAGATTCCTCCAGAGGAAAGATATTATCTGTGCTCTTGAGAAGTCCCCAGTCCTGGGCAAAAAGTGTTAGGAGACGCTCAGATGTCACATCTGTGGTATATTAGAACTCTGATGGCTGTGAGCAGGGAAGGCAGGGTGACAGGGCACTACTGGGAGATGTTCTGTGACATCCACCCTCCTCCCCCAACTCCCGTGTTCAGCAAGATGAGACGTCCTAACAGAAGCAAAAACAGTATTTTTCTGGTGGAGTCCCTGTTCTCCTTTTGCCAGGCAGTGGTGTTCCCCTCCCAGGAGGCCTGGCCAAGGCATTACCCACCTCTCGTGCACAGCAGGGCTCCCGAGGCCATGGCCACTTGCAAAGCCTGTGCCAGCCGGTCCAGTGAGAGTTCAATCTCCTGGGAGGCGTTGAGGGGGTTCAGTTCATCTGCCAACCTGTTGATCTCCTCTACCAGCGGGACCATGTGGTCAAACAGGATGAGCCCCAGGCGCCCATAAAGATTCTTCTCGGTTAAGTGCAGTTGGAGCGTCAGGAGAACCTGCAGGACACTGAGGTGGAGTTTCGAGTACAGGAGGTGGGAGTCTCGGTCCATCCCCACACCCAAGTCCTTGGCAGGCTTGTTATTAACGTGGCCATTGGATAAGGAGGGCTTCTTTTTCCTTTTATAAGCCAGAGGGGACTTCACGCACCAGCGGATCAATCCAATGAGCGGGGTGAGTTCTAAAAATCCTATTGGTAGATTGGCTGCAATCGGAGTATTTAAAAAAGTGATGAGAATCAACCTTGGGTCCTCAAAAATCCAGCTGACGATCATTTCGAGCAAGTCCAAAGGTGGGATGAGATCATCTGCAAACAAAGACTGTCAGGTCAGATGGGTTCTCAGCTCAGGGACAGGAGTGGGAAGTGGAAAGAGAAAAGATGGACAGCCAAGCTCACAGCACTGACCTTGGCATTCAGATCACTGCTCCCTGCCTGCCTGTTTCCTATCTTCTTTCTGAGAACATCTGCCACACAGGGCTGGGACTTCTGTCTTAGTCAGTGTTACCTCACCCGTGCCCAGGACTGTTGGGCCAAGCAAGAGGCTCAAGAAATATTAAGTCAACAATCCTAGAATGGCTTAGCTTTCCCATGAGCTGTGGGGTGTGCAGCCCAGAGAGAGGGGGCTGGGGACCCACTCGTATGCACACAACCAGCCTAAGGGCACTGCACGCCAATCCCAGGATGGGGAGCATAGCCTAGTGGTTAACAGCCAGGCTGGGTCCACCACGTACTTTTGATGAGTCCTGGGGAAGTTACTTAATATTACTGTGCCTCAGTTTCCTCATCCTTTGTGTGGAAATAATAGATGGGGTTGTTGGAAGATTAAATGAGTTAATCTGTGTAAAAGACTGAGACAGTGCCCAGCACACTTGTAAGCCCAGAATAAGTGTCAATACTTGTTCTTCTTATTCTCTGTCTAGCCTGTAGAGTGTGCCAGGTCTCAGGGATCACAGATCAGGCTGTTGTTTCGACCAAGGTTCCAGGTTTGGGGCTGGGATGGCCCTAGGCAGCTGACAGATGACTGCAGGATTCTGAGCTGCTCCCTGAAGGCCACCATAGCTGTCACTGTACCACGCGGGAGACACCCAATACAGGGAGGAAACCTACTCACACGAGGGAAGGGGTAAAGTGTTTTGGACATAAAAAGTGTGGAATTTTATTTAAAATACTAAGGATGTCAGAGCCCTATTTAGGCTATTGAGGTCACTCAAAGCCAACCACAAAGAAGCAGTGTCGGGAGAGCAAGATACATGTTGGTATAAGGTTTCCAATCACTCTTTCCCAGGAAACTTGGTCTTTTTTTCTAAGATTATTCCTACTGATAGTTTTACTATTAACCACCCTCCACCCAAGCTGCCCCTTCTGTTGTGAAATGACAGCAACAGCAGGCAGCAGTTGTCCTGCGTCCAGCCCTTAACTCCTCAGCGACGTTTCTGTCTAGGCAATGCGAGGCTCACACCCGCTCCACCAGTGTAACCTCCCCCGCATCTAAGCTGAGGTATCTCCACCAGCCTCGAGGCAATGTGTGCACATGTACACGTGTGCTCCAGCCATACGTGTGTGTGTACATTGTGAGTGAGCCCTCAATCTCAATGACCTTCCTACTCAGAGACACGAGTTCTTGGCACTGTTTGGGCAAGAGGAGGTTCTGTATGGTTAGGTGAGCTTCTTCCTTTTTGTGGTTTTGAAGGCACAGACCCGTCAAGAATGCTCTCCTGTTACTAGAAGTACCCAAGAGCAGCGTCAATTACCATTCTGACAGTGGCCTCCAAGGCCACTACTGTGTGCTCAGGGACTTGAGAAATCACCAACACATCAATCGGGCTGATACACGGACTTAAGAAAAAGATACTGTGTCTCAGATGTACTCTCGTACATCAGTGGTATTCCCCGAATATTATCTCGTATTCCATCTGCTAATTCATTCATTCCCAATAATAAGGCCAATTTCTGTCCTTATCGCCTGACGACTTGAAAGGCAACTATGAGGCTATAAACTGAGTTTAATCAGATCTTTCTTATTGGAAAAAAAAAAAGGCCTGAATATTGTTTTCAGCTATTAAGAGCTCTTAGGTAGACTCTGCAGCAGAGAACGAGGGAAAATTTCACTCTGGTGGTACAGCACTGCTCTACAAGACCTGCTTCCCATTCCAGTAGCAACCCGCTACAAAGAGGAAGTACGTGATTAGTGAATGGGTGTGGTGGCTCACGCCTGTAGTCCCAGCACTTTGGGAGGTCAAGGTGGGAAGATCACTTGAGGCCAGGAGTTCGAGAAGCTGGACAATATAACAAGACTCTGTCTCTAGAAAAAATTTAAAAATTAACCAGGCATGTGCCCATAATCCCAGCTACTTGGGAGGCTGAGGCAGGATAGCTTAAGCCTAGATGTTTGAGAATACAGTGAGCTAGGATCACACCATTGCACACTAGCCTAGGTGACAGAGCCAACACCCTGTTGCAAAAACAAAAAACAAACACAAAGAAGAAATTAGCATGTGAATATGGTATGCACTTGAATGTTCACACCATTTCCACACGAACTTCCTCAAGACAGCTAAAAAGTCTAACAGCAAGAAAAAAAGTTATAAATAAAAGGAGGCTCAAATATAGTCAGGGGGCTGGCAGGAGACCAATACTGGACTGAACAAAAATGGAACATGTTGTTGAAGGCTCCCGAAATGCCGGTTTAGCTATCAGACCAGAATAAAAAAGAGACCATTTGTCAGCCCTCTAAGCAGCAAGACCCAAGGACAGAAAAGGAGGAAGCTAAAATACAAGCAGAAAAGAAGGCTTTGAGGCCGGCTCTGGACAGAATGCCAGTCACCAAGGCCTGTAACTTCCCCACATGGAAAACAATGCCCACAACCCCCTGCCTGGGAGCCACACAGGGAAGTGGTGACCACACTAGGATACAGACACAAAAGGATTCAGTGTACCGGAAATCTTTGCTTGTCAATCTCTGTTCCTTGGAATGCACCCCTGGGGGAGGGAAGTGAGCAGCAGAGCCCTACAGGCAAGGATCTGAGCCCCCTGCCCTAATTTGATCATAGCTGATTAACTTCTAGTTTTTAAAAATTGTTTTAATTGGGAGTCTGATCACAGGGCTCAGGGATGAGAGACATCAGGCTTCTCCCAGCCAAAGCCAAATGCTATTAAATATACATGGCTGTCCTGAGGACCTCCACTGTTATCCTGCTGAGGAAGTCCCCCAAATGTCACTAATAGTGGAACCAACACGTTTGCCTCTAACGTCAGGCACTAACGACACATCATCACTTAGGTAGTACTGATGCTGAAAGGGTTTAACTAGAATCTTTTCATAACGAAACAATCAGACAAATCCAAACTAAGAGACAGTCTACAAAACAACAGGCCTGAGCTCTTCAAAAATGTCAGTGTCATGAGAGATTATTTTTTAAATGCCAGAGACTGCTCTAGATTTAAAAAGACCAAACAGGGTCAGGCACAGTGGCTCATGCCTGTAATCCTAGCACTTTGGGAGGCTGAGGCAGGAGGATTGCTTGAAGCCAGGAGTTTGAGAACAGCCTGAGCAAGAGTGAGACCCCATCATGCCTCTACAAAAAATAGAAAAAATTGCCAGGCGTGGTGGTGCATATCTGTAGTCCCAGCTACTTGGGAGGCTGAAGGCAGGAGGATTGCTTGAGCCCAGGAGTTTGAGGTTGCAGTGAGCTGTGATAATGCCACTGCACTCTAGCCAGGGTGAAAGAGTAAGACCCTGTCTGAAAAAAAAAAAAAAAGACCAAAGAGACATGATAACTATGTATTATGTATGATCCCTCAGAGCAAAATGAAAGGATATAAAAGACATTATTGGCCAGACATGGGTGTGGTGGCTCACATCTATAATCCCAGCACTTTGGGAGGCTGAGGTAGGAGGCTTGCTTGAGGCCAGGAGTTTGAGACCAGCCTGGGCAACACAGTGAGACCCCGTCTCTACAAAAACTTTAAAAATTAGCTGAGTGTGACAGCACGCACCTGTAGTCCTAGCTACATGGGAGGTTAAAGCAGGAAGATCGCCTGAGCCCAGGAGTTCAAGGCCATAGTGAGCTATGATTGCACCACTGCACTCCAGCCTGGGCAGCAGTGAGATCCTGTCTCTTTAAACAAAAAAAAAAAAAAAAAAAAAAAAAGCAAAGAAACAGAAAGATAAGGCTAAGGGCATTAAACGATTTAAAAATTAGCTGAGTGTGACAGCACGCACCTGTAGTCCTAGCTACATGGGAGGTTAAAGCAGGAAGATCGCCTGAGCCCAGGAGTTCAAGGCCATAGTGAGCTATGATTGCACCACTGCACTCCAGCCTGGGCAGCAGTGAGATCCTGTCTCTTTAAAAAAAAAAAAAAAAAAAAAGACATTATTGACATAATCAGGGAAATCTGAATATAGGCTATATTAGATAATAGTATTCCATCAACATCAAATTTCTTAGGTCTGACAGTGGTACCATGGTTGTGTAAAAGAATGTTCTTATTCTTAGGAAATACATGCTTAAGTATTGACTGATATCAACAACAAATTCTCAATAGTTCAGGAAAAAAAAAACATTTGGGGGGGGTATGTGCGTGTGCACTCACAAAGAGAGAAGAGAACATATGGCAAAATGTTGTTAATGGTTGAATCTAGGTAACAAGTGTATGAAAATTTGTTGTACTATTCTGGAAACTTTTCTGAAGTTTTGAAATTTTTCAGAATAAAAAGTGGTGGTTAAAAACACAAATCATATGTCCAGGGAGCAGGCCATGGCTCATCAGATGCCAGACCCTGGCTTTTTGGGCTGTCTGCCACTTGGACCATTCTGACTCAGGCAAATGGCTAAGCTCTATCTCAGCAAACTGCATGAGTCGAGGTGGCCCACACCTTTAGCTTACAATAAAAACACACATTTCAGACAGAAAAGGCCAAAGCATTTGCTGGACATTTCTCCTGGGTATTCAGTAGAAAAAAAAAACAAACTGGCTATCAGTTGAAGTTGCTTTAACAGAAACAACCTGTTTAAAGTTTACCTGACGACAGGTCATAGAGTGCAGTGACGGAAGTTATGAACTGGCAGCAGAACCGAGGGCTGGCACTGAATATCTGCTTCAGCGTCTGAACAGATCCCGGCACCAAACAGCAGTAGTCATCCACGAGGGCCCTGGCTAGCCTCACACAGTAGACCACAGGCGTCCGCTGGAAAGAAGCCACAGTCCACATAACTACAGGTGTCATGAGCTAGGAGACTCCCAAGTAGACTATGTACATACGCTGAATACCACTGGAACTGGCAGAACCACTTCCAAGAGGGGAAAAAGAAATTAACAGCTTACTCTGAAGCAGGAGTTGGCAATTTAAAGCCCACAAGACCAAATCCATCCCTCCACTCATTTTTGTAAATAAAGTTTCATTGAGACACAGCCATGTTCACTCATTTGCCTCCTGTCTAAAGCTGCTCTTGCACTACAAGGGCAGAGTTGAGTAGTTGTGAAAGGGGACTATGTGACCCGCAAAGCCTAAAATATTTCACTATTTCACCCTTTACATAAAACATCTGCCAACCCTTGCTTTAAAGTTTACTTAGGAAAGATCGTTTCTGACTTCAGGTCAGGAAGTGATAACTTTTGTAACCCTATGGGGATTAACAGTTGCTACCACTTTGAAGAGATTTAGGAGAGTTTGTGAATTCCATGATTAAGATGTTTGTCTAGAGCAGTACTTTCCAAATTTCCCTTACAATCCTGCTCTCTTCAAAAGGCTTCTATAACACCTTTGAATCCTACATCACCACCCTCCCTGCCTTTTTTCCTTCCCATCCACATGTCAATCTGAAACTCTGGCCACATTCAGCAGCTGTTCAGGAAGCTATATCGCTAGGGTGCCAACTTGTCCTGTGGGAGAGACTACAAGGAGACAGCAAGCCAGATTGTTCATTCAGGCTAAAATCTGCCCCCACAACACCAAACTTAGCTGTTAAAAACACCAATTTCTCTCTCTTTCCCCAGGAGGAAGCTGCAGCCCCTCACCCCACCATGGCAAGTCCTGACCCAAACCATGAAGCCCCTTTCCCGTTGTTGACATCTTTCATTTTTGCCAAAATGCCAGCACAACCACATCTCAAAAGATAAATGGAAAACTATATGACAAGTTAAAAGATGCTAAACTTGGTTTCACTAGGTTCTCAAGAAATAAAGTAAACCCAAGGTTAAATACAACATGCATGATGAATTTGGATGCTCTAGAAATTGAACTGGTGAGAATTAAGGCACAGATTCCACTGACATTTAGCTGTGTATTACAAACAACAATGTATTTTTGCTAGCCAAATTTCAAGGATAAACAAGATTGTAAGAAAAACATTAAATTGAGAAAAAAAAGATTTCAAGGGCTTGCGAATGAAGCAGGCTTATGAAATATAGCAGTAAATTCTGTTAGCTTAGCCAAGGATCAGATCAGTCAAAATTTTTGGCTAATAATTTCTCTCAGTGGATTATCGATCTTTCAGACTTTGAGTAGTAAAAAAACAAAACAAAGTGAATCTTCTTACATACTATCTTAACACTAAATATACTGTAGATAGATATTTTCCTTTTGAAATTTAAAAACACTCTAGAAGGCATTTATATCCATATCCATTAGAAGAGCATCAACTTTGTGATGTTACCCTAGAACAAAGCAAAACAATTCACATGCTTACTGACCTAGCTACATAACAAAAAATCTTCTAATGATAGGTAAACATCACCATAATTTGATTTATAGTGATCTTTCTCCCATCCAAGTACTGACCAGCCCTGACCCTGCTTAGCTTCCAAGATCAGATGGGATCAGGCACATTCAGGATGGTATGGCTGTAGTCAGCTATATAGTGATCTTTCCAAAAAAAAAAAAAAATTGCTACCTTTGAGACTGCATGCATACTGTTTCCAAAATCCTACCTTATCATTTTCACCTAAGAAAAAAGACTTTCACTTGCTCCAAAGAGGGACCCATTTCTTTTATTATTAAAAGAAAAAAATCATTTGCCATTACACACCACTGTGTTCTCAAGAATGGTTACAATCTGTATATAAAAATGGGACTGCGGTACTGTATCACGACACAGGACAGTGACAATCAAGGACATAATATATGTGGATAAGACCTCTGCAGAAATCCAGTTAAATGAAAATTCCTGACAATAAACTCCTCTTCAGAAGCACTCAGGAGCAAGGCTACTCTAGAGCAATACCTGGAGCCAGGAGGCTGCACACTCCAACACCGGGATTCGACACACAGCCACAGCCATAGAGACCAGTTTTCCCAACAAGCTCATCCGGCTGTCATCAGCCTTGTTGCCTTGAGGACTGAAAAGGGATGAGAAAACAATCTGCCGGACAGAGTCCTTGGTTTGCTCCTGGAAATAATTGCACATGATTTCAAGAAGTTGAAGCTCCTGAAGTGAATTCAGTCTCTGTAAAACAAATCCAGGGAAAATTATAAGAAATTTGGCCCCAACATAATTATTAACTCATACAGTAAGAAAACAGAAAATATATTAATTTCTCCAGGATACTTTTTACCCTTATGAAGCTCCAGTCCCAGTGGATAGAACTTTGCTGTTAATCTCAGCAAAAAGTCACATATATCATCATACATCATTCTGGAGGACCCAGAATGACCCGAAACGGTTTGAGCCTCTCAAGGACAAGCTAACAGGCCTTTAGTGAGTGGGCAGTCTCCAAAGTCTCTTCCTCTAACACCATTGAGACCCGTCTGTCACAGTCCCTGCGAAACAGGCACACAGCAGAGCCTCAGGACCTCAGAGAAGGGATCTGAACGCTGCTGCAGGAGCACGCAAAGGGCGAGGACGGAGCTCCCGTAACGAAGGGCGTGTGCGGGTTGACAAACATTCGTCAGCACTGGGGGAAAGGACACCAGTCTGCCTATCCGGAACACAGTCGGGGAAGCTACCCGCCCGCTCGCCCAGCCGCACCTTGGGCTGCGCGCCGCGCTCCTTGGGCACCTGGAACACGAACTCCTCCAGCAGCTCCACGGGGCCCTTGTCCACGATGGGCAGCGGCGCGCTCTGCAGCTGGTTGCTGAAATAGATGTCCAGGTGGTACAGCACCTCCTTGGCGGCGCTCAGCGCGTCGCGGCGCAGCAGCGAGTGGCGGATATCGCTCATGGTGCGGCCGCCGCGGCCCCAGCGCCGAGCGCGTCCCACTTCCGCCGGGAGCCCGGGGCCGCGCCGCCGCCCGCTGAGACAAAGAGGCGCGACCCGGGCCTCCGCCCCGACCCCGGGCCTGGGCCCCGCCGCCCGCCCGCCCGCCGCCACCTGCTCCCGGCCTGCTCAGGGGGCCATCGCCGCCGCTGCCGGCCGTCGAGCGCCGGGGAGTCCGACTGCGGCGCCACCGAGAGCCGCGGGAGCCGACGCCGCGCAGCCGAACGGCGGCGGAATGCCGGGCGCGGCGACGGCGGCCCGCAGGGGCCAAACGCAGGCCGCGGCCTGGGCGCGCTGTCGGTAGGGCGCCCCCTGGCGGCGCTGCCTGGCGCGCGGCGGCCGGAAGGAGGCCACGCCCCCAGCCCGCTAGCCGCTTTCGGGCCAGGAGCCGGGCTGTCCGAGTAGCGAAGGCAGGAGAGTGCCACACTTACCGGTGAAAGCCGTCAATCCTTTCCGAGGCTCTCTTGTGCTTTGCGCGGCGTTCAAAGCCCCCACTATTTCATTTCACTGCGCTTTGGATGGGGGGGCGTAGTACAGGCTTTGGCTTGGGGCCAGCGGACTTGAGTTCCCTCCTGGCTCCAGTGATCCATCTTAAAGATTTACAGCTGTTCTGATCTCACGGGCTGCTATGACAGATGATGCTTAGTAGGGGCCTCCTTCCAACCCCCGACTCCCACTACCTGTCCCCAGGATCCCTATTTCCCAGCCCTTTCCGGAGGCCTGGCCTCGCGGACGCTGGCTCCTTGGCCTAGCCTGGGAGGACCATGGGAATCTTAGGTAGCCAGCAAGGTTCAGCCCACCCAGTCCTACTCCTGAAAACCCTCCCACTCTAAAAACCTTCAGCACTTTATGTGGCCTGTTTTCCTGCATTCATTGCTCTACTCTGCACTAGTTTTGGATTTTTTTAAACAGGGCAGTAAAGACTTGAATATGGCCAGCAGAGGCCAGTGGAGGACAGGCAGCTGGCCACAAATACAGAAATGTGCCTCCTCTAAAAGGCCTATCTATGCTGGCTCCAAGGCAAGCCTTTGGGAGGACTTTGGGTGTGGTTACTGAGATGAAAATTCCCTGCAGAGGGGACAGAGAATAGGGACAGGCATAAAAGAAAGTGTGGCCAGGCCCAAGGCCAAGAAATTGAGTCACTGAGACTCTGCTGCACATGAAGAGACATGGCCATAAGGCCCCTCCTGTCCAGGACCCCAGAGTTTAGAGTGAGAGACCAAGGTTTCAGTGTCACCTGGAACCTCTGAGAAGTCATCTCTTGATCCCCTTGACACCAGGACTTCAGAGATGCTTGGGTCGAACAGAGGGAAAGCAAGGGGGCTATCTACCACAGCACCCGGCACAGATTAGGCCCTTTCCCTTCCTTACCCACTGAAAGTTGATTTACAAACACAAAGCAAAAACCAAAACAAACAATGCTTAGAAAATAAGTATCCAGATGTATAAATAAATGTATAGTATATTTAAAAGGCAGTAACACTCTTTCCATTCTTATTTCTTCTTTCTCTCATAATGTAGAAAGGCAGGTAGAAAGATCTCTCGAAGGTTGTTCCAAAGGCCATGGGAGTGAATGTTCTGGTAAGCTTGGGGCGTGGCTGATGGTACCCTGGCCACAAGGGGGCAATGCTGGCACCGGGTCCAGTTACCCCTGTACCACTCATTAGTCGTCTGGTTGGTGGCAGCCAGGTATAGAGCAAAGCACAGGTAGCCACAGAGGAGGAAGCTCAGGACCACAACAAACCCCAGCATGAAGACAATCCTTGGAAAGCTCAGGAACAGGTACTGGGGACAAAGAAGCAGCAGTACATTAGGCAGCTGGACTGTGACATCCGTAAGAGTAAGCACCTGCCAACCCTGGTCCTGTCCATACACACAGAGCTGCCTCCTCAGCTCACCTACCTGTGTCCAAGTATGACCCACTGAACATAAATCAGAACCATAAATGGCATTGACAAATAGCCCAGAAGTAACACCAGTATGTACAGGACTTCACTATGGGATAGTGTTCACGTTGAGGGAAAAGGGAAAAGTTACTCAGGAAATGGGGCTATGCCAGCTAGCTATTTATAAAACAAACAAATAGACCTTAGTTCATTCATCAAAATAAGATCCCAATGGATTTTAAAATCCAGATCAATGTCTCTCTTAAAACAATACAACCACAAAAATACATACAAGGACATTCATTGTAGCCTTGATTTAACAGCCCCTCTTCCCAAAAGAAGTAAGTTAAATGTCCATCCTTAAGAGTAAAATAAACTCTGGAATGGTCACACTATGGGATCATAGGGAGCCAGCGCCGTTAAAAATGATGTCAAGGCCAGGCGCGGTGGCTCACACCTATAATCCTAGCACTCTGGGAGGCCGAGGCGGGTGGATTGTTTGAGCTCAGGAGTTCGAGACCAGCCTGAGCAAGAGCGAGACCCCGTCTCTACTAAAAATACAAAGAAATTAGCTGGACAACTAAAAATATACAGAAAAATTAGCCGGGCATGGTGGCGTGTGCCTGTAGTCCCAGCTACTTGGGAGGCTGAGGCAAAAGGATCGCTTGAGCCCAGGAGTTTGAGGTTGCTGTGAGCTAGGCTGACGCCACGGCACTCTAGCCTGGGCAACAGAGTGAGACTCTGTCTCAAAAACAAAAAAAAAATAAATAGTCTTGAATACAAAAACAAAACCATATACACAGATTACCTATTGCAAAGGGGGAAAAGTACTTTACCAATGGAGACAGCTGGTGGTCACCACCTTAACTAATGGATCAAATTTGGTATCACTAACACTATAGACCACCTGATGAGATACAATATGAAATATACATCACTACCTAGGAAGTATTTTTGCCAAAAATATTTAACCTAAATCTAATCAGGCCTCTAGAACTAACTTCCAGTTTATTCTAATATAAAGGAACAGAGAAAAATTAGATGGCATAATTAGGAAACAGACAAATCTATAACATGGGACATTCTAAAAGATAACTAGGCTACAAAAAATGCCACTAAAAAAAGTAGAGGGGCCAGGCACGGTGGCTCATGCCTGTAATCCTAGCACTCTGGGAGGCCGAGGCGGGCGGATTGTTTGAGCTCAGGAGTTCGAAACCAGCCTGAGCAAGAGCGAGACCCCGTCTCTACTAAAAATAGAAAGAAATTAATTGGACAACTAAAAATATAGAGAAAAAATTAGCCAGGCATGGTGGCACATGCCTGTAGTCCCAGCTATGCAGGAGGTTGAGGCAGGAGGATCGCTTGAGCCCAGGAGTTTGAGGTTGTTGTGAGCTAGGCTGATGCCACGACACTCACTCTAGCCTGGGCAACAAAAGCGAGACTCTGTCTCAAAAAAAAAAAAAAAATGTAGAAGCATTGTTTTAAACTAACAGAGACTAAAAAGACATAACATTCAAATGCAAGGCATAACTATAAAGTAGATTCTGGTTCAGAGAGCTAAAAGAGCTACAAAAGATATATGTGGAACAATAGGGAAATTTAAATGCAATTCAGACTAGATAAAACATAGAATTACTTTTCCTAGGTAGAATAATAGAACTGTAGCTACATAGAATGCAAATATTCTTTAAAAATGCATGCACACGCAAGTATTTAGGAGTGAAGTAACATGTCTTCAACTTATTTCTAGTAATAAGAAAAATATATACACATATACAGAAAGAAAACAGATTAAAATGTTAAATTTTTAATGTAAGTGGAAGGTGTATGGGTTGTCACTTTTGTTATTCTTTTAACTCTTCTGTGTGTTTGGAAATTTTCATAATTAGAAAAAAATTAAGAATAAAAACCACTCAAGGTTAAAACAACAATGAGGTATCACTACACACCTATCAGGATGGCTGAAGTTTAAAATAGTGATAACATTAAATTCTGACAAGGATGCAAAGAAACTGGGTCCCTCACACACATTGCTGGTAGAAATGTAAAACAAAACAACTACTCTGGAAAATACTATGGTAATCCTTTTTGAAACCTAAAAGGGGGTTATCATACAACCCAAGAATTATTAATACATTGAAGACTTATTTTCATATAGAAACTTCTAAACAAAAGTTTGTAGCAGTTTTGTTCATAATAGCCAAAAACTGGACACTACCCAAATGTCCTTCAAAGGGTGAATGGGTTAAACAAACTGGTATATCCATACCATGGAATGCTTCACAGCAGTGAGCTACTGATACATGCAACTTGGATGATCTCAAGGAAATTATGCTGAGTGAAAAAAAGCCAATCTCAAAAGGACACATACTATATGCTTCTTATTTATGAAACATTTGTGAAGTAACATAATTACAGAGATGGAGATCCAGTTAGTGGTGACCAGGTGTTAGGGATGCAGGTGAGGAGATGGGTGTGGCCATAAAGGGGTAACAGGAGAGTGTCTTGTGGTGCCGGTACAGTTGAGCATCTTTTTCTTTTTTTTCACAAGACAGCCTCCATTGAACAGCTGAGCATTTTGATGGTAGTGGTGGTTGTGCAAGGTTGTCCATGTGACAAGACTGCACAGAGTTACACACACATACACACAAGTGCACACATAACTGGTGAAATCTGAATCAGCTGCACGGATCATGCCATTGTCACTTTCTTGATTTTAGTATCGTACTGGGGTTGGCATGGGAGGAGGGGGGTTAGGAATGCATATTATTTCTTTGTAACCTCCTGTAAATCTATAATGACAATTATTTCAGGAGTTAAAAAAACGATAGTGGCTTTAGAATTAAACTGTGTATATGTATGTTTTTTCATGTTAAGAAAATATTCTTCAATTCCTATTTTTTGAGTGTTTTTATCATGAATGGGTGTTGGATTTTGTGAAAGGCTTCTTTTCAGCATCTAGAAAAATAACCATGTCATCATTCCTTACATTTAATAATATGGTGGATAATATTAAATAATTTCCTAATCTTGCAATTCTGGAATACATCCCACTTGTTTGTGGCACATTACTTTCTTTGAAACAAAAGGACCAAAAACATTCAAGAAAAATTAGATAATAACCTAAAAAACCCTGCTCATATGCTATTTCCCATAAATTAAGTAGAAATCTTTAGTGATCAAATGAGTTTTTTCAAAGAATGGCTTCAACCCTTACATTATAGTAAATTAATTTTCACAAGGGTGCCAAAATAATTCAAGGGGAAAGAATAGTCTTTTCGACAGACAAATGGAGCTGGGACAACTGGATGTCCACATATATTAAAGTGGGAACCCTATCATATACCATTTATAAAACTTAACTCAAAATGGATAAAACACCTAAATGTAAGAGCTAAAACCTAAGACTCTTAGAAGAAAGTATAGGGTGTAAATCTTTATGACCTTGGATTAGGCAACAGTTTCTTAAATATGACACTAAAGCATAAGCAACAAAAGAAAAAAATAGATGAATTTATCAAAATTAAAAATTCTTGGCCGGGCGCGGTGGCTCACGCCTGTAATCCTAGCACTCTGGGAGGCCGAGGCGGGCGGATTGTTTGAGCTCAGGAGTTCGAGACCAGCCTGAGCAAGAGCGAGACCCCGTCTCTACTAAAAATAGAAAGAAATTAATCAGACAACTAAGAAACTATATAGAAAAAATTAGCCGGGCATGGTGGCGCATGCCTGTAGTCCCAGCTACTCGGGAGGCTTAGGCAGTAGGATCGCTTGAGCCCAGGAGTTTGAGGTTGCTGTGAGCTAGGCTAACACCACGGCACTCACTCTAGCCAGGGCAACAGAGTGAGACTCTGTCTCAAAAAAAAAAAAAAAAAATTCTTGTGTTGCAAAGAAAACTACCAAAAAAGTGAAAAGACAATCTACAGAATAGGAGAAAATATTTGCAAATCATATAGTTGAAAGGGTCTAGTGTCCAGAATAGACAAGGAACTCTTACAACACAATTTTTTAAATGGGCAAAGGTTTTGAATAGACATTCCTCCGAAGAAGATATACAAATGGCCAATAAGCATATGAAAAGATACTCAACATCATTAGTCATTAGGGAAATACAAATCAAACCATAATGAGATACCATTTCATATCATTAAGATAGCTATAATCAAAAAGACAGGTAATAAAAAGGGTTGGCAAAGATGTGGAGAAATTGGAACCTTCATATATCGTTGGGGGGAAAGTAAAATGGCACAGACACTTTGGAAGACAGTCTGGCAGTTCCTCAAATGATTACAAATAGAGTCACCAAATGACCCAGCAATTCCAATTCTAGGTACATACTCAAGAGAAATGAAAATGTATGTCCATACAAAAACTTGTACACGAATGTTCACATTATTCAAAAATAGTCAAAAAGTGGAAACACCCAAATGTCTATCAATTGATGAACGAATAAATAAAATGTGGTATGCCCACACACTGGAATGCTATTTGGCCAAAGGAAGGAATGAAGTATGGATTCACACTGCAACACAGATAAACCCTGAAAACATGCTACAAGAAAGAAGCCAGTGGAAAAGGCTGCACGTCATATGATTCCACTTATATGAAATGTCTAGAAAAGGCAAATCCATACAGACAGAAAGTAGATTAGTGGTTGCCAGGGTCTGGGGAGGAAGGAATGGGGAATATTTCTTTTGGGGTAATGAAATTTTGGGGCTGAGGCAGGAGTATCGCTTGAGCCCAGGAGTTTGAGGTTGCTGTGAGCTAGGCTGATGCCACAGCACTGTAGCCCAGGCAACAGAGCGAGACTCTGTCTCAATCAATCAATCAATCAATCAATGAAAGGGTGAATTTTATGGTATGTGAATTTTACATCAATTAAAAAAATTTTTTTTTTCAATTTTAAGTTTTTTGTAGAGATGTTGCCCAGGCTGGTCTTGAACTCCTGGTCTCAAGCAATCCTCCACCTCAGCCTCCCAAAGTGCTGGGATTATAGATGTGAGCCACCACACCCATGCCTGACCAATAATGTCTTTTATATCCTTTCTTTTTGCTCTGAGGGATCATACATAATACATAGTTATCATGTCTCTCTGGTCTTTTTTTTTTTTTTTTGAGACAGAGTCTCACTCTTTTTGCCTGGGCTAGAGTGCCGTGGCATCAGCCTAGCTCACAGCAACCTCAAACTCCTGGGCTCAAGCAAGCCTTCTGCCTCAGCCTCCCGAGTAGCTGGGACTCCAGGCATGCACCACTATGCCCGGCTAATTTTTTCTATATATTTTTAGTTGTCTAGCCAATTACTTTCTATTTTTTTAGTAGAGACGGGGTCTCGTTCTTGCTCAGGATGGTCTCAAACTCCTGAGCTCAAACAATCCACCTGTCTCGGCCTCCCAGAGTGCGAGAATTACAGGCATGAGCCACCGCACCCAGCCTGGTCTTTTTTTTTTTTTTTGAGACAGGGTCTCACTCTTTTGCCCTGGCGAGGGTGGTGTCATCATAGCTCACTGCAACCTCAAACTCCTGGGCTAAAGCAATTCTCCTGCCTCAGCCTCCAGAGTAACTGGGACTACAGGTGCACACCATCACCCAGCTAATTTTTCTGTTTTTTGTAGAGATGAGGTCTCACTCTTGCTGAGGCTGGTCTCAACTCCTGAGCTCAAGCGATTCTCCCACCTCGGCCTCCCAGAGTGCTGGGATTACAGTTGTGAACCGCCGTGTGCCTAGCTATGAATTGTATAGCAATTTTTTAAAGACTGGAATGGCTTCATGTTTTTACTGGGCAAATAAATGTTCTTTTTCCAGTTCTTAAACCTGCAGTCGGAAACCTACAGCCCACAGCATAATTTACCTGAACAAGAAAGACTGTGTCCATAACCTGGAAGTGTCCGAGGTCATCAATGTAAGCCTCCTCGTACAGATCCGACACCACCACCAAGTGGACCAGAAACGCTATGCACACAATGGCCAGGGTGACAGCTGACGCAGTCAACGTCAAGAGGTAGATGAGAAAGTACCTGATGTTCCAGGCCCCGATGCAGTTGTTCACCCAAACACAGTGATGGTCAAAACGGTGCACACACCGGTTACACACACCTGCAAAGAAATGAGGACGGTGCTGGGTTGGTCCTTGATAAGATGATGACACCGTGCACAACTACTGAGATTTTTACAAACTGACCACTGACGCTATGAGTGGGGAATGGCAGCTGCTGACACCAGACTTTCAGAACTACAGTGCCCAAAATAGCAGCCACTAACTAAATGTGGGTACTGAGCACTTGAAATACGGCTATAAGAAAAATTTGAAAGAACACCTGGTAAATATTGACAGACTCACAGCTGGTTTTCAATTTCTATAATATTTCTTTGAATTCAGTGTGAATAATACTGAACAGAGACAAGAATTAGTGAAATTGCTTAACTTGGACAGAGTTTTAAAACTGATATTTCTGCTTTCAAGTCAAGTCAATTCTTCTGATAAAGATGAACCATTATGTCAATGTAGATGTGGATAGTAAAGGAAAATGATTTTTTTTTTTTGGCACTCAATTCAGTTATTGGAAAACTTTTAAGACTGTCTGGATATAACTTGGATATGCGAGTCTTCTTTTCCAGCTGCAAATTTTATAAAATCTAGGCTGGCACAGTGGCTCACACCTATAATCCTAGCACTTTGGGAAGCCAAAACAGGAGGATCACCTGAGGGCAGGAGTTGGAGACCAGCCTGGGCAACATAGTGAGACCTTGTCTCTACAGAAAATAAAAAAAATTAGCCAGGCGTGGTAGCACACGCCTGTAGTTCCAGCTGAGGCAGGAGGATTGCTTAAGCCCAGGAGTTTGAGATTGCAGCGAGCTATGATGACGCCACTGCATTCTAGCCCAGGAAACAAAGCAAAATCCCGTTTCGAAAAAAAAAAATTTATGAAATCTAAATATAGATCGAGTATTTCCAATGAAAATTTAGCATTCAAATCAAGATGTGCTGTAAATGTAAAGTACGTACCAGATTTCAAAGACTTAGTATGAAAAAGAGAATATAAACTATTAATATCTCATGGATAATTTTTTACACTGATTACATTTTAAAATGATATTTTGGTACATTGGATTAAATAAAATAGCGATTAAAATTAATTGTTTCTTTTCACTTTTGTAATGTTACTACCAGAAAATTTAAAATTACGTAGTGGCTCACGTTATATATTTGTTAGACAGCACTTGTCTAGAATCTTGGGCACTCCCCAGAAGACCAAGCTTTACCAGGACTGAAATCTACAAACACAACATTCCACAGAAACATCTTTTAGTCAGCATGCCCCGCCACGTGGCAAAGGGAGAGCTGTTATGCTCAGGCTGAGGGTTGTCCACCATATAAGAACACAAGACTGAGCCAGGCATGGGAGCTTGCACTTGTAATCCTAGCTATTTGTGAGGCTGAGGCAGGAGGATCACTTGAGGCCAGGAGTGCGAGACCAGCCTGTCTCTTAAAAAAAACAAAAACAGGCCGGGCGCGGTGGCTCATGCCTATAATCCTAGCACTCTGGGAGGCCGAGGCGGGCGGATTGTTTGAGCTCAGGAGTTCGAAACCAGCCTGACCAAGAGCGAGACCCTGTCTCTACTAAAATTAGAAAGAAATTAATTGGACAACTAAAAATATAGAAAAAATTAGCCGGGCATGGTGGTGCATGCCTGTAGTCCCAGCTACTCGGGAGGCTGAGGCAGGAGGATCGCTTGAGCCCAGGAGTTTGAGGTTGCTGTGAGCTAGGCTGACGCCACGGCACTCTAGCCCAGGCAAAAAGAGTGAGACTCTGTCTCAAAAAAAAAAAAAGAAAAAACAAAAACAAAAAAAAACCACAGAACTAACTGGCCTCTAGAATAGTGGCCATGACATGTCTAAGGATCAACTGGCTCTGCTCTTAGACTCAGGAAACTTCCCTTACAAACAAAACCCACACGTGCACTGTGTGGTGTGCCGCTGGAGCCACAAGAGCCATACTTACTACAGTGCTTAGATCGAGCTGGTTTTCTTAAATCACAAGTAGAGCACTTCATGTTCTTTGGAAACATCACTTCATCAAATTCATAAACTTGAAGAAATAATAATTCATTTGCTTTTGTTATAATGGCTGAAAAAAGTAAGGACATATATCAGTTTCAAACAATATGGTGGACTGGGTGTTCACAAAACCTATCCCTGATACGACACAACTAAAATTGCTATATTTAACATTTAAAGCAAGTCATTTTATATAATTGCTTTATTGAGATATAATTCACAGACCCAATTCACTCATTTGAAGTGTACAATTCAATGGTTTTTAGTATATTCAGAGTTGTGCAACTACCATCACAATCAATTTTAGAACATTTTCATCTCCCCAAAAAGAAATCTGTTAGCAGTCACTCCCCATTTCTCTCTAATGCCCCCAGGCCCTGGAAACCACTAATCTATCTTCTATCTCTGTGGATTTGCCTTTTCTGGACATTTCATTTAAATGGGATCATATAATATGTGGTCTTTTGTGTCTGGCTTCCCGCACTCAGCATAATGTTTTCAAGGTTCATCCATGTTGTGGCATGAATCTATACTTCATTCCTTTTTATGGTTGAATAATATTCCATTGAATGGATATAACACATTTTATTTATCCATTCATCAGCTGATAAACATTTGGTGCTTCAAGGACAGAAAAATTTAAAAGGATGGAAAAAAATACCAGATACCAATCAAAAGAAAGACCTTGTAATATTATAATATTAAATTCAGATAAAAAAGACTGGAAAGCAAAGACACTGACAGTGATAAAGAGGCTTCCTACACAGTCAGGCCTCTGTATCCCAAGATCTGCATCTGCAGATTCAACCAACTGCAGACAGAAAATATTTAAACAAAACAAAACAAAAAATAATACAATTAAAAATAATACAAATAAAAATACAGTGTAACAACTATTCATATGGCATTTACGTTGTATTAGGTATTATAAGTAACCTAGAGATGATTTAAAGTATATGAGAGTTGACAGCACAACAAAGTGACTATAATCAACAGTAAGGTAGGGTATACTTGAAAATAACTAAAAGAGTGGAATTGGAATGTTCCTAATGAAAAGAAATGATAAATGTCTGAGGAGACAGATATTCCAAGTACCCTTATTTGATTAATTCACATTGTATGACTGTATCAAAACATCACATATACCCTATAAAGATATGCAACAGTTATGTATCCACAATAACTAAAAATTTTAAAACATTTTTTAAATGTATATGGGAGGATGTACATAGATGACATGAAAATACTATGCCACTTTATATCAGGGACCTCAGCATCCACAGATTTTTATATCCTTGAGGGGTCCTAGAAACAATCCTCCAAAGATACTGAGGGATAACTATATTTTGCAAAAGGATTTAATTTACCAGGAAGAGATAATACTAATTCTAAACTTGAATGTATTTAATAAGAATACATATATATGTAAATAGTTTCAGAATATGTAAAGAAAAATTGACTAACTACAAGGAGCACTCTGGCAAGTCTACCATTAGAATGAGATTTAAAAAAAATCCAGCTCTCACTAATTGATAAAACAAAAAATTAGCATGGATATAAAAGATCTGAACATAATTTATTAACCTGAGGTAATGGACTTACATGATTCGCTATACCCAAGAACTAGAAAACACCCACTCTCTTTCAGGACACACGGATCATCATTTACAAGAAATGACCACATGCCTCAGCATAATGCAAGTATGAATAAAATTTTAAAAGGACAGTATCATATACAATCTCTACATATAACACAATTAAGTGAAAGTATCAAAAACTAAAAAAAAAAGTATATTGGAAAATTTTAAACAGTTCTAAATAACCCATGGATCAAGGAAGAAAACTGAAAGATAATGAAAACACTACATATCAAATATTTTGCGTTAGGGGACCACGCCTTGTTTGCAGCACTATCGATTATATAAGACAGTGGAGCCGTCGTCAGTTTATATACTAAGAGACGCAACTTACCAGGATTGGTTATGCAAGTTAAAGTGAAGAAAAACAGGTTTACAATCAGCAGCAAATAAGGAAGAAGAAGGTAATACAAGGAGAACTCCAGCTCTTGGCAGTAGCCAAATATTTCCCAAGTGTATTCACCATAAACCATCCCTTGCAAGACCAGGTGCAAGATAATGAAGGTGTGGTTTCTGAAAGAAAATAGGCACATGGCTCGTTCATAGGGACTTCTCCATAAAGAACTCATACAATACTAAGAAAAACAGCCAAAGGTCAACTACTTCCTTTGGGCTTGAGAAAATAATAAGAATTAAATAAGAAACCATGTAAAGTATCTCGCACATATTTTACAGAAATACACGTCAATATCTTCCCACTCTTTACATATCTCTGTTTAAAAGTAGACATGTCAAAACCCCAGATACAAAAGGCAAATTAACTATGAGTAGAGGCTCCGAACCCAGGACTCTCGATCCTTTCCAGTACCCTTTCCCTCACCATGCTGGAAAGCACAAGTAGCTTCCTGAAGCTAGAGGGTGGCAACAATCAATAATCAAAAACAGAAAAGAGGGTGACATTTAAACTCTGAAATATAAATACCTTGAATGGAAGAAGTAATGAAGCAATCTCCGCATGGCTCTCTGAAGACATTCTGGAATTATATAGGAAAATATCTGAAACAAAAAGACTCAATTTCATTTCTCATTCCTCCCACTCCCAAACACATTAGATGCTCCACATACAGCCAGCAATATGAGTGACACTAAGTTTTTTTTCTGCATATAAGCAAAGAACTGATTTTAGACAGAATAGAGGAAGACTTCCTCCTAATGGCCTTCCTTTGATGCCTACTTCTCCATTTCCATTCTGACCCTAATGAAGGCACCTGTCAGGATCTTCAGGGAAAGAGAGGTGAGCAGAGGGGATGGTCCCCTGCCCAGGTTCAATCCCAGGTTCCACAGTCCACCCCCAGATCACTGGCCATTAGCCCAGTTCCCTCCCAAGTCAACCCTTCCCATAGGCTGCTTGCCCCAGTTTTGCTCGCTTTGATCCCTGAAGGAGAGTGGACAGCCCGATGATGAGCTTTCTGCCCATGCATCCCCCAATTCCACTCATCAAGCTTCCCCCCTACCCGCTGTGGACCCTGCTCACATCCATGCCCAATTACAGGCATCAAATCCAGAGGAAAACAGCCAAACTTGAGAATGCTACCCCAAAGCAACATCACAAGATTACCTTTAGCAGTAACAACAACAGAGATAGAGACTTTGGAATATACCACGATTGCCATAAATGAAAGAATAAATGAACCAATGAAGTTAAATGGCACCGCTTTTTTTGTCTCATTGGGAGACTGGTGAGTCTCCTAGACTAGCACAGTATTCAAAATCCAGTGGTATCCCAGGATCATTGTTACCTGTGCTCCTCTCCTGACCAGGCCTTTCAAGCGATGGGTTTTTGAGCAGATGCAGATCACAACACCACCAATCAGCACCAAAGCCAGGTAGAACAAGAATAGAACCAGAAAGTCCATCCTGGGGGCTACAAAGGAACAAAAAGAGTTGACTATCTGCTACTGAGGAATTTATTTCGTGGCACATATGCTCAGACATCAACTCTCAAAATGGCTCCCAAAGCAGAATCCATCAGTCCTCAAGCACACACCACAGAGCCCTACTGCTCCTCAGTGAGGCCTCCCAGATGGAAGCTCCCTCCTTCAAGATGAAGTTTTTGAATCTAACACTGTGGGGTCTGCCTTTGGGACATCTCCTACCTGCAAGTCCAAAATAAAGTGAGGAAGAAAAGGCATCCATCATCCTTCCCCCCAGCAAGAAATCATTCTTTTACTTCCTTAAATATTCACATAGATATAGATACAGAATGTACCCAAAAGACTCTGCCGATGATACCACCCAAACAAGCTTCAGTCAGGGGCAGTCAGGAGTTCTGAACTCAGGATCAGGCATCCTGTCCTAAGAAGCATCCCTCCAGCACAGTGGGCACAACCATCACGGATCACCCTCGGGGGCCAGAGTTAACACACAGTGTTAAGATACTGGAACTGGTTACTTTTTGCCTCAGCAGATAGGATTCTGGGCTGGAATTCCCACAAAGGAGGTTCAGTGTCCCCACTCTACATATTTCTCTTGGTTAGATAATTTTCAGCCGGCAGCTCTGGCATTCCTCCTCCCAACATTCACAGAGAATTCAAACAGCAGCTCCTCTTGGGCAGCAGTGTGCGCCTGGCAAAACAGGTAGCACCCAAAGCTGGAGACATGGGTCCTCCAGGAGGCTGGATCTGGCTGCAGAGACAGATCAATTCGACACTAACGTATTAAGACAGAGTAGGAGTCAGCAGTGAATACACTGTGGAAAATGATTTGGAATTAGAGGATACTGAGCCCCTGCAGTGTGAACAGGTATTAAGACTTTGGGAGAAACAACTAATTGGTAGCCGGTAGCCTTGGGTCTATCCGTATCCCTGAGGCGCCCACGCTGGAGACCAGACAGAGGACCTCCCCAAGGTTACTTCCCATCCGAGGCTCCCGGCGGATGGGTCTGGCCAGAGCTTTTCCAGGGGGCTGGACTCGGGGTAGAGGGATGCAGGGGGCAGGAGGCTCAGAGGAGACACCTGGGGCGCCCGGGCTTCGGGTGGCGGGAAGGCAGGACTGCAGCCCCGCCCCACACGCACAAGGGGGAAAGGAGGGCCAGACCAGGAGACGGGCGGCCCTGGGCAGCGGGGGGTGGCATCAGAAAGCTCCGCGGAGGCGGCCTTACCGCCACCCTCAGCCCACAGGCAGCCGGACTGATCCGGCACCTCCCGGGTGCCCCGGAGACTTCCTGCGAGCCCGTGACGTCAGCTTGGTGCTGCTTCCAGGCCGACTTCCGGCGGAAGTGCGCCCTAGCGGCCGCGGGTTGCAGGGCTTGCTGCTGGCTGTATGTGCGCTCGGGGGCGCTCCTCGCAGCCAGCCTTGGCGACCCCAGGCTGTGGTCCGGAGTGACCTGTGGAAATTGGGATTTTAGAGCACTGTCGTCGGACGACTTACAAGAGGACCGTCCTGGGCCTGTTGCGGGCGAGAATGCCGGTGCTATGGAACAGACCGAGCCGCCTGCGGCCTGGGCAGAGCCCAGCGTGGCCCCGCTCACAGCCGAGCGGGGGACCCGGGTGGTCCAGGTCAGTCACACTTAGGGGGCTCATCTACTGCGTCTTCGTGGTGGACTGAGTTTGCTTTCAGTCAGCCACACCGTTGGGATCTGTCTGAACCGTTTCAGCAATCTTACACAGCAGAAGCTGGTAGAAGTCACAGTATGTGCCCATCACAGTCAGATTGGGGTCCACCCGTGTCCTTGTTCCTGATGTCTCCTTACAGCCCTGAACATCCTCCCCCTGGGTACAGTGACAAGTGCTTAACGACAAACCTTGAGGATAATAGGGAAGACTGTTTGATGGTAGGCAGACGTGGGGCGAGAAGAGCTACTTCCAAACATAGCATTGAGAAAGGCCCCCGTGGGGTGTTCCTTTGCTCTGAATCCTCTGAGGTCGAGTCTATTCTTGATGCCTCTGAAAACCTGAGCCAGGCCTATCCTCCCTTTGAGGGTAAATGTCTGATCTCCAAACACTGGCTTTCAAGCTCTTCTCTTTTCCTGTCTGTCTTTGCCACCTACCCCAGCTTCTTGATTCCTTTTCTTTTTCCTTTTAAAAACAATTCCTTACCAAGCAGGACACCTTCTCTTGTATACATTGTATCTAAGGCCTTCATGAACTTGTGGACACAGAATTGAAAAAACAAAAAAAAATCTGAATATATGATGTGACCAGGGCAGGGCAGGCTGTGGTCGAGGATGGAGCCCCATCATACATCCACAGCGGGCTACATTTGATCCGTGTCTCCAACTGACTCAAAACCTGCTGGTTGATACTGAGCTAGTGGTTAGATATTTTGAATTACCTTTTTTGCTCATAAATGTGGAACTTTATTTTTATCCCCTTTCATTTTTCTCCAGATGCTTTCAATTCAGATCAACTTTGAGTCTTGGTTTGAGCACCTATTGTATTTTGTGCTGGATTACCTTTCTTTAATATTTAACAGATTTAGGCAAGTAATTCAATATTATGTTCTCCTGGTAAGAGTCAAACTATACAAAATAAAACTCTCCCTTGATCACCACCCTTCCCAAAGCCCAGTCCCTTGAGGGAATTAATCATTCTTATTTAGTATGTATCCTCCAGAATCTGCACAGCTCCAAAGCGGCTATGCAGATAACCAAACAGGTAAAGTGATAAAGTGGAACAGGTATCTTTTGTTCTAAGCACAAGTGGCTATTTATACAGACCAAAGGATTGTTAACTTGAACCCAAGTATACAGAATTCCAGTGTTCAAAGAGCATTTGAAAATACAGATTTTTATAACATAAATTCCTGATGCTTTAAAATACTGACAACCTGGATGGAACTGGAGACCATTCTCAGTGAAGTATCACAAGAATGGAAAAACCAACACCACATATACTCAATACTAAATTGGAACTAATCGATCAACACTTATGTGCACATTTGGAAGTAAAATTCGAGGAAAATCAAGTAGGTGGGAGGGGGGAGGAGGAGATAGGTAAATTCACACCTAATGGGTACAGTGCACACTAACTGGGTGAAGGGCATACTTACAACTTTGACTCAAACTGTACAAAAGCAAATTATGTAACAAAAACATGTGTACCCCCGTAATATTCTGCAAAAAAAATCATCAGCTAATTCAAGATTTTAAGACACCGTTCAAGCTAAGCACAACACACCTGCAGGACAGTTTAACCCAAGAGCCACCTGTTTGCAAACTCTAATCTAACTGTTTTG